CTTGTTCAGTGTTACATATTTAATTTTTAGGTTTTGGTGAAATGTAAAACTCTATTTTGAATCTTTCTAAGTACTAAAGTGTTTTCTTTTTAAAACATGTTTATGTGAATTGCACATTTCTCCAGAATGATTTTTTCTCCTTCTGTGTTTGCACATGCTTGTTTAAACTCGGTGCCTTATCAGAATCACGGTTACTGTCTGCGCAGTAAATGAGTTGATCTCAATCATGAAATAAAGAATTCACATGTATAACAAAATAAAATGTACATGCTGAAACTGTAGCCTCTTGATTTTCTTTCTTTCTGAAGCTTTGATATTATATTCACAGATTTTGTTATAAGTCACAAGATCATTTTCACAAATCAACAGTTGTCTCACATTAATGAAACTTGCTCCAGCTCATGTTTACATCCAGGAAAGTAAAATGTACTTTATCTCAGTTGTAATACTCTAACGGTCCTCTAGATGACGCTGTGTGATCACACACTTCCTCATCCACAAATGAAAACTCGTCTCCAGGTCCGATTACACGCTTCTGTAGCTTTTTATCGTGTGACAGAATAAACCTGGACTGAAAACTCAAGAGTTTCTGTCAAACTGTGAGACGTTCAGGGACACAGATGTAACGACGACAGGACGCCCGGCGGCTCGTCCTCTGTTTGACCCACGTCCATCAGACCGAGCTACAGGTGAAGCCCCCTGACATTAGATGAAACTGTCACCTGAACCCGTTTCATCCAGACACCGACCCGGCTCCTCATGACGCCCCCGTGACCTCTGACCTCTGTGACCTCTGTGACCTCTGCGACCTCAGGCTCTCAACAACACTTCAGTCAGACCACATTCCCCAGCTCCAACACGCTGAACACGGTTTCTCCTCAGGACGAGTCTCACCTACGACAGCTCCTCTGAGCTCCTTCACTGCTTCGGCCCACAGACTGTGTGAGACACTCGTGACTCAGAGAGTTAGAGAGGAACTTTCATCGCTTCAATCGACAGCATCAAATAAATGAATCTCAACCGGCCCCAGTCACGTGACTTTCGTACGTTTGACGAGACACCGAGGTCCAAACCGTTGAGATATTATTTGATATGATGGTTTATGATTGATACGATGCAGCGAGGTCAGATAAGGTGTGATACAAACCGAAGATGATGCAACACAACAAAGTTAAAATACAGTAAAGAGATGATTCACCACACGATGAATAAAATACAGTTCGATTGGACACGAGACAATGAGCTGAGTTACCAAATACAAATACATACAGTCGAGTACCTTGTTTTGTTTTGGTTTAGTTTTTGTTGAGAACCATTAAAATGATTTGAACCAAATCTGGTTCACACACACACACACACACACACACACACCCTCCTCTTCCTTCAACTCTCCCACTTTTTCTTTCTTTTTGATTCTGTCTTTCTTTATTTCTACCTTTCTCTCTCACTTGTCCTCCTCTCTCTAATACACTGTCTCTCTCCCTCTCTCTCTCCCTCCCACTCTCTCTTTTCTCCTCGCTCAGTCACTCGCAGTAAATCCTATTGTGATGCTAAACTGATTTTTGGAGAGAGAGAGAGGGAGGCAGAGGGAGAGAGAGACAGACAGTGTGTGTTAGAGACACACACACACACACACACACACACACACACACAGACAGTGTGTGAGGAACTTGTGGATTCTTCTTCTTCTCCTCTCTCGGTTGAACTCCTCCGTCTCTCCGTCTGTCCGGTGGCCGGGGACCGGCTGTGTTTTCGGGCAGCGTGTGGAGGCTGTGGGCCGCTGGAGGAATGCACTTTGCGGGCAGCCCGGCTCTTTGCTCGGACGCCTCCTCCTGGTTCTCCCCCTGGTTCTCCTCCTCCTCTCACCCACCAACTTCTACTCAATGACCGGAGGAAACTGCGTGTCCGTGCGGGAGACATCGTTTCCATACGTCCGGTTCCCTCCTCCGCCGCCGGGCTGAGGACCGAGGAGCCCGGAGGGAGCGCTCCCCGGCCGGGCATGGAGAGCGGCGGTGTCCGGGCGGCGGGCGGAGGTGGAGGAGGAGGAGGCGGCTGGGTGCTGGTGGAGGCCCGGCTCCAGGGAGGAGCTCCGTGGGGCTTCACCCTGCAGGGAGGCCTGGAGCACCGGGAGCCGCTCATCATCTCCAAGGTACGAACCAACGATTCATGGAGGTTTAGTTATCGACGATTGTTCGATTAGTCGACGAGTCAACACGTGTTTCCTCAGAACTCAGGTTCACTCAGGTCAAGAGTCCAACAGAGAATAAATACCAAGATTAAATCAATTAAACTGAAACATGTCCATCATCCAACACTATTCTTCTGTCAGAGTCATTTACATATCATATATCATATATCATATCATTACATATCATTACATATCATATATCATATCATTACATATCATTACATATCATATATCATATCATTACATATATCATATCATTACATATCATTACGGTGACTATTTAAAGGGTTTTAACACTTCACTTCCACTAAGCTGCTGAAAGAGGCTGAGACAGATCCTCGTGTTTTTAGTTTGAGATATAAAACTTTATTATCTGATCCTTCGTTCACTAAATGAGACACAACTAACAGTGTTACAGTTAATGACGTATTATTGTCGAGTGTTGTTCGATTAATCGATGCATCAAAACAAGTTTCCTTATAAATTACAGGTGAACGATTGTCGGAGGTCAAGCTACTGACATGTTAAGTCTAAAGTATGAATCAACAATAAAAAAAGCTTCTTACCCTTCTAACCTGAGGCTGTGATTTATCAATCAATCAAGTTTTATTTGTATAACCCATATTCACAAATCACGATTTGACTCCTGGGGCTTTAACAAGGTGTGACATCCTCAGTTCTTAAGTCTCAACAAGAGTCAGGAACAACGACCAGAAAACTGTCAACAGGGGATTTAAAGAGTCACGCAAACTATTTTACTTCCACCGAGACGCAGAGAGAAGCTGAGATGTTTTCAGATATTCTGAGCTTTACTGATCTTTGTACGATTCTGAAACCAATAACATCGAATTCAAGTTTACTATGATGATTTCATGGTGATACATTTAAAGGTTTTTCAGATTCTTAACACGACACAGAGGTCGAAGAGAATCAAGTCACAATTTCCATAATTCTGTACAACAACAAACTAAATTATACAAAAAGGCACAAAAATTAAGAATGAAAGAAAAAAAAAAACGGACTCTGCCAGTTTCAACGAACCGGTCCCTGAACGACGGACTCTGGGTTCAGGTTCACACATGAAACGATGTCACACAGAATCACTGGAGTTCAGTTTATAGTCGTCCAACCAGAATTAACACTAATTACCTACAGATGACTTCATCTGCAGGAGACAGTTGTCATGGTAACCGGTGACATCAACAGACGCTGAGTAATGGTTTCACTTCATTTAGCTTCTTATCGTTAGTAGTCGGAGGTTTTAGCCTCATAAAGCAAAAACAGTTTTAAGATTCAGACTAAAGAAACTTGTGATTGACTGAAGGAGCTGAAACATGAGCGAGAACATCAATAATGTTTTGTTGATATTTGATTTGTCGCGTTATCGAAGCTTCTGCAATAAGCAAATACACCACTAACGATTTCTCCTCTGTCCTTACAGCCATCGTGACCTCATTTTATTAAAATGCAAATCAGCAGGCCAGTGAGAGTGTGTGTGTGAGTGTGTGTGTGAGTGTGTGTGTGAGTGTGTGTGAGTGTGTGTGTGAGTGTGAGTGTGTGTGTGAGTGTGTGTGTGAGTGTGTGTGTGAGTGTGTGTGAGTGTGTGTGTGAGTGTGTGTGTGTGTGTGTGTGTGTGTGTGTGAGTGTGTTATTCTGGGACTGAGGCCAAACGGCTGTAAAATAGGACAAGAATGTGAATTATGTGTTTTCCTGGAGCTTTTCGAACACACTCATGCTTTTATTTTGTGCTGATGAGTTTGAGCACACTTGTCCGGGTTTGACCCAACAACAACTCCGTGTTTGCTGGTTCAACAGAGTCTGTGGATTTAACATTACACCTTCATTCTTCTGTCTGTCTCGTTCATTCCTCTGCCTTCGTTTCCCTCTGTCTCTTACTACAACTATTTTTTCTTTTGGTTCTCTGTCCATAATACTGATTTTTGGCAACAGCCGTCTGTTGCTCCGTCTCGTCCTCTCGACTCTGATATCTCAGGAATGCCATCTTCAAATTAGGCACAAACATCCGTTAACTGGTTAGAATGCAGTCGTCAAAGATCTGAAACTCAGACGTAATAATACCTATTTGGTACATTTCTATAAATGTTTCACTACAAACGTTTGAGTCTGGACAGACGTGGGTATAAACTGCAGTGTGACTGCTTGGCGGAGGGATATGAGGACTATGACGAGAGGGTAACTACGTCTGCCATGGAGGTCATGTTTAAAGAAAGAACTCTGGGATCGAGACGGGCGGATCCAGAAATGATCACTTTCTTTAACGTTGAGAGATTTTCACAGATTTTGAAGATAATTATTAATGAATCTGGATATTTTTCTACGTAAAATGTACGTGTGTGTAATTTGGTGCAGATTTAGGGAATGTTCAGCCTTGGAGGACGAACACGCTCGACATTTAGCTGGAGTGGAACCGCCTGTGTTTTAGCTCATTTTACTTATATGAGAATCTAGAGTTGCCCTTTTACAAACTATCTTTTAAAAACATTTTCAGTAACGTGAGTACAAAGTGTTGATTTATGAAGATGAGCTTGGAACAAAAGTTGTGAATATAATACAGAAGAAAATCCAGGAGGGTAAATATTCTGAGCTCGACTGAGTTTTGGTTTTCTTTGATTCTTGAGAGAAAGAAAAAATGAGCTTCTTCTGAGGATGAACGATGAGATGAAGGGACCCGACATCGTCTCTCTGTCTCCGTTGAACCAGTCAAACATGTGATGTCTAACTTGTTATTGCAGCGTGAACATATTTCAGCTTGTTTATCATCCGTGTTGTTGTGGTTGAGAGTTGGGGTCAGAGGTCACAGTGAAGATTTCTGTTAATCCAGGCTTCAGCTCAGGTTAAAGAGTCTTAATGAGTCTTAATCTGAAGGTCTCATGACTGGTATCAAACTGGTCGGGTGACACCGACCGTGGGTGATGACGACAGGACGTACGCACGTCAGACAAAACTCTTCAGCGAATAAATTACAATACGAAAACAAAACTAACTCAAAAACTGATCCCGTGTTTTGGAACTCGACTCGACTCTCTATTCATCCTTTATCTGTCCATCATCTATATGAGGGGGGTGGAGCCAATCTCAAGTTGTTTGTGTGTATATTTGATTTTCTCTATGTCAGATGGTGAGAAACAGGAAACACAGAGACAGACTGAGGAGTAAAGATCTCCGACCACATGGTCTTAACCAGGAACTCTCCAGGACGTCTCTGAGAAATCCTGGAGATATTCAGCTGAAAACATCCTTCAGATGAATCTATGCAGGAAGGAAGAGATCACACAGTCCTCATTGATTAGAGGAGGCATGTTGTTTCAGTCACGGTATGAACAGGCTGAGGTGCTCTGTTTGGATATCTCCATCTGCAGGATAATTCATTTCAGCTGCAACACCACACACACACACACACACACACACACACACACACTCGGCCGGCCTTATTTGGGTATATTTATTCCTGAATAAGTCAAACAGTGCAGGCGTGTGATTGTTCTGCAGGAACAGTTTAGATTTTCTCTCACAGGTCTGAGATGATGTTTCATTTCCGTCATTCTTCTCAAACCACTGATGTAGATTCACTTGAAAACAGCTTTAACACGAATCTGACTTCGGTTTTTTTGGTCAATTATTGTTCCGGAGCGGAGTCGCTCAGACTGTGGATAAATGATTGTTAAGAGTTTTTGTTAGAGATCTGTGGAGCTGCAGCCTCGGGGCCTGAACACTTGCTGCTTTTGTTGAAAACGAACACATGCTGTAAGTCAGAGGAGGGTCAGACACACCCTGACAGAAATTCTTGGCAGTTGTTATAACATCCCACATGGGCGGGGGTTTAATATTTCAGAACAGTGCTTCATCAGGCTTTTGTCGATCGCAGGAAAAGTTTGTAAAAACGTTTAATAAAGACACTTTGCGATGGTTGTAAACACCCGACATCTCTTGAGTTTAAGAAAGGATGTCGTTTGACAAAGTTTGAGCTTAATGTCTCCCTCTCAGACAAGTGACTCACATCTGAGGAACCGACTTTAAGCAACGCAGCAGCTCGTGTGAATTCTGACTTCACAAAAGAAAACATGTGTTTCAGCTCATCAGTCGAATGTGCAGCGATCCAGTCTGAGCTGGTGACGTCTGCGCGGAGACATTTTGACGACATACTGAGGATTTGGTTGAGCTTATCTCACAGACAACAAGACAAATGACCTTAAACACACAGACGCAGCTACAGTCTGGTACTGCTGCACACACACACACACACACACA